CCAATCTAACATGATAAAACATAATACAATCCAACCCAAGTCAATCCAGCGTAATCTAACCTAACCTAACCTAACCTAACCAATATATAATTCTTTAGGAACAATGGGCCCCGAAAATACAAACCTTGCTTCACTTTATTTGATAACAAAGGAAAACATTGAAAATCCTAAAGTTGTAATAGCTCCTGCTAATATTAGTAACGGTGTGGCTTGGAATAAAGCAAACACGAAATTTTTCTACATCGACAGTCCAACTCGTCAAGTTAGGGTGTACGATTTCGACCTAAACTCTGGTGAAATTTCAAATCCAAAAGTGGTCTTTGATGTAAGAGAACACGATGAATTAACAGGGAATCCCGATGGAATGACGATAGATGAAGATGATAACATATGGGTGGCATTAAACGAGGGTGGAGCTGTGGTTAAAGTTGATACAAACAGTTTAGACGTTTTGCATGTAATAGCAATACCAGCTTCAGATGTTACGTCTGTGGCTTGGGGTGGTGACAATCTTGATGTTTTATTTGTAACGTCGGCACGAATTAGACTTAATGCAGAAGAAAGAAGACAACAACCTGCTGCTGGAAGCTTGTTCGCAGTTTACAATTTAGGTACTCGGGGGTTACCTACTCACTATGTGGATGTAATTAATGATACAAACTTCCCAGCTTAACATGAATTTAGGCTTTTTCTAATAAAATTTTACTTTATAAAATATGCTGTTTTATTAAGGTTCCAAGCTTTAGAAGGGAAAAACAAAATCGTTACAACTTATTCGTATTTTTCAAATTCTGTTTGTCACAGTCACAGTGCCGTTTTTCTCAAAAAATGTTTGAAATAGATTAATAGGAAAGTAAAATTTTGAATATTTATAAATTGTACTGAACTGCATATTTTTGAAATGCTTTAGTATTAGACGGTTTTTGTTAGTCTGAAAATTTTGAAATGATGAATTTCTAAAAATTGAAGTTATAAGGAGGTACAGACATGTACTTACCCATACTCAGCTGATGGTAATTAGTAAAACAAAGAGGAAGACGAAAATATTGTAACTGTTTGGGAGAATAGTATGAAAACAATTAATACGTAAAAAGAATAATCACTGATTCTTAATACATATATATTTAATAATATTTAATCATTTACTTCTGCCTTTATTTATTTTTTCTCTTTGATACTCTCTGATACTTGGGTGGGGGTTAAATCCAATTTAATTTGATTTACGTGGTAATTCCTACCTTTCGGTTTATCCAGTACAGTTCTCAAGAGCACAGGATTGAGATACGCTCAATAAGAGCCTGGTCTACTAACTTTCCTTGGAAGATAAGCAAGACCCCTTAGAACCCATAGGTGCTGGCGGGATCTATCAAATCCTTAAGAGTCTTAGCAGGCTTGCTCCAACAGCCGGGCATGTAGAGGATTTCCCATCTTGAGCTCCTGAAGTACCAGTCTCCATTACTAGTCGGATGCTTGAGGACGAATCCCTATCCCAATCGCATTACTTGTACTCGGCACTAGTAAGCCGTCTTGGATTCATGGCACGGACACCTTCTCCTGACCGTTTATACTCATATCGGCTGAGCTACCCCGTCTCTCTTTGATGAGCGCAATAGGAGAAGTCACACTGGCGAACTTCTCTCACATATCTTTTACTATTGTATTGTTCCGGTCTTTTCCCCATATTTGGTGGGATCGGTCGCAAGTGACCTTAGTTTTAGGGGTAAGCATCATGTGGTCTACCGGCCGGAATCGCCTTATCAACACCCTCAAGCAGCTGCTGAGAAATCCAGCACTAAAGCTAATGGCTAATGGCCCGTCGATGGAAATGTTCTGTATTTGATTTACCAATCTAGAAGACTAGAAAACTTTGGCGGTGTTATAGAATACTATAAGTACCTCAAACCCCAACGCCGAAACACAACAGTTGACACTTTCCGAAGTACTTTTCGGTACCACGGTTACCTTCTTCAGGGATTGAAGAGAACTGTTCAGTTGAATAATCCCCTTCAGCCTCGATGGAATATAAACCTACAATTGTCTGTTATTAGTTTGATTGTTGGCTTACTCGGTGTCCATAAAACCGGTATTGGCTCACACGGTTTTTTTTTTTGTTAAAAAAATACACCTAGTATACTTATACTCTTTATTTTTCTTTCAAATAATCTGTTACAAATAAAACTTATTATATGATTATGCTTAATATGGATCTGTTTATATAATTCTAACATTTATTATAACAACATGCTAATACATACAAATACGTATCATATGATAACAGATAACAGGGATAAGCTACGAATGAAATCAAAGGTTATAAAAAGTGAAAATAACAACAGATATTGTAAATTTATCTTTTTGGGTTTGTTTTAAAAGAAAGTCAATAGTTCTTATTTCTACCAATACATTCGACTAATTCAGGGGAACAGGAGAAAACTGAAAATAGTCCTGATTACCTACAGGTTCGAAAATCTCTCAAATTTCGTAATTGGTCTCAATTTGTGGTTTCTTCACTTAAATTTGATTACGATGAAGTTCAAATGCGTTTAAGTTATCATAATAAAAATGATAAACTATAACTTTAGTAGTTTTAAATTTGTTATTTGTAAAATCAAAATTATAATCAATGAAGGACGTAGGAGTTTTTGGAACATGTAAGCTATGTATGCAGTTTACCTCCTATATTCCTAAATTGCGATGTTTAGCTCAGGATAGGAAAGAATGGTGGTACGTGTCCAACCAGTCTTAGGACTGACGACCTTATGATAATGATGATGTACCAAAGGCCTTAAAAGAATCTATATAGATTGAGTTTGTTTGTGTGCCCTTTGATAAGGCCGACCCTTTACAAACCCTTTACTCCATTATTTGATGTAAATATACATTGGTCATATAAATAGCTACGATAGAATCGAGAAGTTTACCGGTCTACCGTTTCTTATGTCAGATTTATGACCTTTTTTATGCTTGGGTAATACGTAGGTGAGTTTCCAAATTTTGGGAAGCATCCGCTTGAAAGCGATTGATTGAACAGTTTATGAATAGATGACTCCAGTACAGATCAGCACTTGTATGTAGGTGTAATTAAATAGTATGTTAATTAGCCTGTCTTAACAGTAATTATAATTTCACGTTAATATGATAGATTTTCTTCAATTACAAAAATGTAATTGGTAGCAAAAATGCCCCTTTAAAAATTATTAGTACACCATTCTACTCACAATTGGTTAGTTACACTTACATGCATCACATTTAATTTCCTAACAAAATTACATAACATATCAAGACCCTTTTAAGATCTACATTTCTTATTATGTTTTGCAAGTAATAGCAATACCAGCTTCAGATGTTACGTCTGTGGCTTGGGGTGGTGACAATCTTGATGTTTTATTTGTAACGTCGGCACGAATTAGACTTAATGCAGAAGAAAGAAGACAACAACCTGCTGCTGGAAGCTTGTTCGCAGTTTACAATTTAGGTACTCGGGGGTTACCTACTCACTATGTGGATGTAATTAATGATACAAACTTCCCAGCTTAACATGAATTTAGGCTTTTTCTAATAAAATTTTACTTTATCAAATATGCTGTTTTATTAAGGTTCCAAGCTTTAAAAGGGAAAAACGAAACTGTTATAACGTATTCGTATTTTTCATAGACCTTCAAATTCTGTTTGTCACGGTCACACTGCCGTTTTTCTCAAAAAATAGAATCATAGGAAAGTAAAATTTTGTATATTTATAAATTGTACTGACCTGCATATTTTTGAAATGCTTTAGTATTAGACGGTTTTTGTTAGTATTAAAATTTTGAAATGATGAATTTCTAAAAATTGAAGTTATAAGGAGGTACAGACATGTACTTACCCATACTCAGCTGATGGTAATTAGTAAAACAAAGAGGAAGACGAAAATATTGTAACTGTTTGGGAGAATAGTATGAAAACAATTAATACGTAAAAAGAATAATCACTGATTCTTAAT